TCTGGCCACGGTGCCCGAGGGCCAAGTGTCAGTGCTGGGACTCCTCGCGAGGGAGGGCCGGAGCGTGTGTTCTCAGAGGGGGCAGCTCACAGGCCCTGGGCTGCCCAGCTGGTCCAGCCAGTGCTCTGTGTTTTCTCCCTAACGTGCACTGTGCAAATCTCTAGTTCGGTAGATTATCCCAAATGCTTTGTGCCTTTTGTGTACTGTTTTCTTAGGATTTAGCTTCTCGTGTTTTTGGCTTGATCTGCAGTCAGTGACAGATTGTGCATCATTTGATGGCTCACTGTCGCATGTGTAAACCCCTCGAGGGCTCGGAGGAGATTTTGTGGGTCTGGGACCGCGGTGTCCGACACTGGGAGGCCCCAGCGAACAGGCGGATGGCCTGCTTGCATGAGCGTTGGCTTCGATTGATTCACGCTCTGGGTACAGTGCTGGGGTTGGAACAGAAACGTCACTTTGGGGGCTTCTTTCAGTTCCTGTTGCCTCCTTCTAGTTGGTATAAATTATAGGCACTTGTCCCTAGTGCCCGGAGAGCATTATAAAATAGAACTGTTTTCTTGGTCTCATTGGAGCATATTTGGGAAATCTTACAATGTGAGAAAATCAAGAAACAGAGCCAGTGAATACCGCAGTCCCATTTATCAGTAACTCTCAAGAAAACCCCAGTTATCACTGGTAGGTCATATTCTGTGAACACAATGCAATAGGATTAGAAATTATTAACAACAACAACAAAAGCAGCTCTCAGGCTGCCAGGGTACCCCGAGCCTGAGGCTGACACCACCCCAACAATGTGGGGAGGGGGCTCTGCTCTCCTCATCTTTCAATAAAGCTGTTGGTCTAACTCAAAATAAAAAAAAGCAAATAAAAGCTTCTATATGTTCCAGGATGTAAAAACAGACATTAATAATTCACAGATCATGGAAGAAATTGTAATGGAAATGATAAAATATTTATGAATGAAAGACAATGAAAACACTACATCTCAAACCTTGTGCCAATACAACTACAAGAGTAATTAGAGGAAAACTTTAGCCTTAAATGTTTTCATTAGGAGAAAAGAAATTTTGAAAATCAAGAAGTCAAGAGTTCCGCTGAAAACATTAGAAAAAGAACAACAGAATGTGCCCAAAGAAGGAGAAAAATAAGAAGAAATATAGAAGTTAATGGAACAGAAAACAAAATAATATTAGAAAAACTCAATAAAACCAAAACTGGTTCTTTGAAAAGACAAATAAAATAGACAAGCCTCTGGCGAAAAAGAGAGAAGACACATGTCAACAGTGCTAGACATGGAAAGGAGGTTATAACTGTGGACACAGTAGGGATTTTGAAATCATAAAAGATACTATGAACAATTTATGACAATTTTACATTTACGTGAAATGGAAAATTTTCTAGAAGAACATAAATTACCAAAGACTTAAAACAGTCTGAATAGACTTATAGGAATTTGAGTAATTGAATCAGTAATCAAATGTGACCCTCATTCACCAAGATTAAGATAGGAGCCCAGATGGCCTTGACTGGGAAGGTTTGTCAACCTTTAAGGATGGGACAATCCTTCATATACAATCAGTTCCAGAGAATAGGGGGAAACCTTCCCAAACTCATTTGATGAGGCTGGTAAAACCTTGAAGATGAAACCAGACAAGGATAGCACAATGAAGGATAATTTTAGGCCAATGTCACTTATGAATATAATCACAAAAATCCAAAATAAAAATTGGCAAATCAAATCCAGAAATATATTTAAAAATATGTCATGACCAAGGTTTTATCAAACACATACAAGCATGGTTCAACATTAGAAAATCTATTAGAGAAATATACCACTTCAACAGATTAATGGAGAAGAAAACATGGTCATCTCAATAGATGCAGAGAAAGCATTTGCTAAAATTCAATTTATTTGTAATTAAAAACCCAAACCAAAAACAAGCAAACAAGACAAAACCAAAACCGAACAAACCTCCTTCCCATGGTTACCTCTGTTGTCTGTTCCTGTTTATTGTTTCAAATGTAAAGAAATATTTTTGAGACTACATTTAACAGGTAGCAAAGCTGATATGTTGCTCTTTGTAGGTAGTTAATTGAAGAATTGTTGATTTTAATTTTGCAGTTTTCTGGTATTTGGAATTAAAATAGTCTTCGACATTTTCATAATTTTATAAAACCTGTAAGCCCTAGGCATTCTGCCCATGTCTAGTGGATAAATGGACCTGTTTGGGGAATTATATAATTTCTATCTTTCCCTCTCTGTCTATGCATCCAATAAATGGAATTTATTTCACGTTTAAGGTGCAAGTTGTGTGAGATCCTTCATTTGGTTGACTGTGCGGCTAGGTATAAAGAACCTAAATAAGATGAGGGGGCTAAGATGGATGTTGTTGAAAGGTACAAGCTTGCAAGGAGGGTAAATAAGGCATAGAGATCTAACGCACAGTACAGGGAATATTGACAATATTGTACTATAATCATGCAATGTGGTAAATATCGCAATCATGTTCTAATATAGAAATGTATCAAAGTAACACCTTGTACCTTAAATTTACACACTGTTATGTGTCAAATTTATTGAGTTAAAACAAAAAAGGACATAAATAGGCTGCTCATCCAGTTGCTCTGGACTTTTTGTAACCAATGCCAACGGGAAGTGGCGCCCTCTAGTGCACATTGAGAACTGCTGTTGAATGAATTGGACTTGGTGAGGAGGGCTGTTTCTCGGGTGCCCTAAGACCCCCCGGCTACGTTCACATCAGAATGTACAAGTCAGGCACCGCGGAGGTTGTCAGTAAATATTTGTTGAATGAATAAATAGAACCATGAGGCTTTTCAGAGTGCCCTATGGAAGTGAGTCAAAAAAGCAGACTTGTAAAAGTAAATTGTCCACTTAGAGATGAAAGGAAGGCTGATGGTGAATACTGGGAAGAAGAGAAAATTGGAGGGAAAGAAATTAGACATATGTTTCTTTTCTGGGTTTCAAGAGGAAATAAGAAGGAAACATAGGGTAACTTTCCAAAGAGAATTAGCTGAAAAGCCAGCAACGAAAGCTTGCTCATACAAGCTGACAACATTCTAAAAGGGACTGGGCACCAACCCCACTGGAGGCTGAGCCGACCGCAGACGAGAGAGAAGGAAGGATGGAATAAGAGGGTGAGAAACAACAACCAGCTGAAAAGTAGGGGCTGTTTCATCCGTAAGTAAATCTTCAAAATGTAGATGTATTGGGGAAATTTGAACACTTATTGGATGTTTGATAATACAGAATTATTCATCTTTTATTAGTTATAGTTAGGTCATTGTGCTTATGTCAATAAGAGGATCTTGACCTTCCAGAGAAACATACTGAATGAAATGCTCTCTGGGGTCTGGGGGTGGGTGTGAGGGGTGAGGATAGAGATGGAACAACCCAACTCTCTGTGACCATTTGAAGTTGGGTGAGAGGCAACTGGGGGCTCATGACACTCTTCTCTGTGCCATTGTCATGTGTTAGAAAATTTCTATAGTAGATTAAAGTATGTTTGTACCTAATCCTTCCAGCGTTTTGAAAATTCTCTTCTTAATACCCCTAAAAAAGCTACCCCTAAAAAAGTTGGTGAGGGGAGAGGAAATGTTTGAGGCTGATTTAAAGTTTTGGTTTGAACCATTTCTTCTGGTCCAAGAGTTCATGATGGCTGAGAAGGGGGAGGGGCCAAGGGGACACCTTGCTTCACTTACATATGAGGTGATTTCAATACAGTCCCGTCAAGATGCAGAAAGATGAACTAATTAGATAATTGAGCCAAATAATTTTGTGGTTGCATTCACTGAAGAATGAATTAACTTTTTTGTATTTACTGGAGAATAGGAAAAGTTTTCCAAATGCCAGTGAGTAAATAAAATTGCATCAAAGATTTTTGCTCTTTGCTGTCCAGCAGAAAGTTGAATAAGAAACAACTTTTGACTCTCTAGAACGGTAACTCTACACTGGGATGCTCTGAGGGCTTTTGTTGTTGTTTTTGAACTGAATGTTTTTAAAAGGAAAAATGATATAAATAATTTTTGAGAGAATCAAGTCTTTCGAGTGGTTAGGATCGTCTTCCGACCCCTCGGGTGAGACGGTGCGGCTACTCCAGAATGCTGATTTGGGCTGCGGGTGGGGAGTGCCTAGTCCGTGCCAGTATTTCAGCTATTGATGCCCAACTGTAACAGAATTCTCTGAGTTAAGAGGATTTTTGAATTTTTGGAAGTAATTTCTGTGTTTGCCCAAATGTAGAAAAATTCTGAAGAACACTAGAAACGACTAGAGATTGCATCAAGAAATGAAGTGTTAATGTCAACTTCCAGGAGGGACAGGTTCTGGTCCCCACGCCCTGGATCTTCTTCCAGGAAGCGGGGGGGTGGGGGTGGGGTGGGGATGCGATGCGGGAACGTTAGAGGCAGATATTTGGGTTGCACAGGCGTCTGCTGACTTTTCAGTCGGCCACCATACAGAAATGGCTGTAGTAGGAAGAGTGTGGTCTTGGTGTCAAAACTGGGTTAGAATCCGCACTCTCCCGTGTCTACTGTGATCTTGGGAAACTGGTTCCTGCTAAGAACTGTCTGGCTCTCTGCACCCTGAAGGTTCCAGAACTAAGGCATGAGAGGCTGCTGGGGAGCAACCCCTTTTTCCAAAGCACCTCCCCTAATGCCCGTTTCCAGGCTATGCCCCTCAATCTTCATCCCAACCTGGGCATGGACAGCACCCCCTCCTGGCCGCCTGCTTCCCACCTGGCAGGTTGAGGAGGTGCGTGATGGGGAGAGGTAGGAGAACCCTCAGGAGGGAGGAGGGCGGCTGGCTCAGGGGGCCTGTACCTGGGTAGGGGTATGGAAATGGAATTGTCAGTGGGTTGAGATTTCCAGAACTTCTAAAAGGCTCCCAATAAACCTCCAGACCTTCTACTCTGGGCTGGAAGAATAACATGAGAAGCTTTCTGTTTCTATGACTACAAAGGTTTAGAAATCACTGCTGGGCCTCCATGCCGCTTCCAGCCACGTATTTCTTCACTTCCACCATGAACAGAATGGAGGTGAGTTTTCCTTGGGTTGAACTTGATGCATGAAACCTTCTTGCTGGGGCCACCTTCTAGCCGTGAGTCACCCCGTTGAGTGGGTGTGGAGGCTGAATGCCCCTGCCTTGTCTTCCCCTATAAGATGGTGCTTTCCCTCCTGGCAAGGCCGGTATCATCCTTCCGGTCTGGGATCAGTCCTGGGTCCTTCCTCGTACCAGATGAGGTACGAGGAAGCCATGGGCTGCGGTGGGCACTGTGCCGTCCAGAAGCTGGGGAGCTGAGGAATTCCAGTTGGGCTGGAAAGGCCCCGCTCTGTTGTGGTCTCAGGCCTCACCTGGAGCGGGTGTGTGAAAGGCAGCATGCAAGGTGCTTGAGGGAGGTGCTGTGAGTTCACAGCACAAAGTGAAACCAACAAAGGCTGGTGTTGAGGAGCTGGAGAGGGGGACTCAGGAGGGGGATGTGGAGAGAGCCCAGGGCTGCACTCCCAGGGGAAAGAACCAACCCAGCAGAGGGTTCCACCCAGGCTGGACCCTGGAAACAGAACCAGGCCAAGGGGTTTCTGGGCACAGGGCTGTTGGAGGACAGAAGGACAGAGTCAGACCGAGTGTGCCCGGGGAAGGCCGCTCCAGGCAGGGAGGGGTGGGACAGGGTCGTGGGGCAAGCCACTAGGGGGCTAAGCAGGGAGAAGCTAAGATGAGAAAGAGAGTTAAGTGTGAACTGGAAAAAGACCCGATTAAGTCAGCAATACACACACACACACACACACACACACACGTGTGTGAACTGGGACTCCCGCAGGCTAAGCTCTCTGAATGGCTGTGTTCCTCTAAGATGCCGACCTCTGAGTGTTCAACAGACACTCACGAGGCTGCTTTGTGCTGGACACCCCAGTGAGCACCCCCAAGATTCCTCACTCTGTAGGGGATTTCCGAAGGGCACAAGGAGCAGAGGGGTACGCGGAGCAGAGGGGCACGCGGAGCAGAGGGGCACGCGGAGCAGACGGGCACATGAAGCAGAGGGGTACTCGGAGCAGAGGAGTACGGGGAGCAGAGGGGTACATGGCTGGGGCTTAGGGAGAGAGGCCTCCCTCCAGGGGATGTGGCCTGAGGCCTGGCCATAGGCCCAAGGGAGGGTCCAGTTTCAGGATGTCTCCTGGAGCCTGTTGTCACCTACACTCAGCTAGGGGTAGGAGGGTCAAAGGAGCCACTGGCCTCACCCTGGAGGGGCCCATGGTGCCTTTGCTGAGTCAGGGTCCAGGGCGAGAGGGGCTGGGCTCTGGGCAAGGCTGCCCGAGGAGACCCCTGCCCCACAATTCCCACCCTCCACACCAAAGGCTCCCACTATCTGTCACTTAGGGTTTAAGAACTTTCTATTTTCACTCCAGATTCAGGTCTCTAGGCTTTTTGTGCTTGGCCTGTGTCTCTCTAGAATCTTCCAGAAGCAATTCAACTCTTTTATACCTTTGCTGCCAGCTGAGGAGGTGAGAGGATGACTCTCATCATCATAACAAGGGAGCACTTGTCTGGCTTAGCAGTCAGCACAGCGAGGCACAACCAGCGCTCAGGACAGCCCATCAGCGTCGTTCCCTCCAAGCAGCCGTCTGCCCTCCTCTGGGTCCGCCCCCAGCACCCTGGCACCGCCACACCCTTCTCCCAGGTGCCGAGCACTGTCCTTGGAGAGGCTGTTTCAGGTCTTACAAGGCGTGGAAAGGTGGTTCTCACAGCTGCAGAGACCAGAGAAAAGGTTCCCATGACTGTTTTCTCTTGGGAAGTGGAGAACTAGGAGCAAAACCACATGTGCCCCTGGGTTTATTTTCTGGTAGCAGCCCACTGGGTCTCTGGCAAGGGGTTCTTCTTATTGGCCTGTCAGTGCTCCTTTCTAAACTCTTCCTCCTGCTCAGCACCTGCTGGCAGCACAGGGCAGCCACCTGCTTCTCCGGGAGAGAGCAAGGTCAGCCTGGTCTTGCGAAGAGGCTGTGCCAGCCTGGCGCTGCTCCTCTGCTGCCTCCCCTCTGGAGAAGAGGGGAGAGACAGACAAGGATTGCGGGAACCAACAGCAGAAGCAAAAATCCCTCCAGAAACCCCCAAACCAAAAACATACCAGAAAGAAAAAGAAAAACTTGAGAAAACCCCAGGGGAATTGCTGGTTATCTTGAATTGGTAGGTGCAGAGCGGAGTTGATGGCTGCGGCCTGGGCACAGGGTGCCAGAGGCTCCGGGGAAAGAATAGGTTGGAAGACAGCTTACTGAAAATCCTGCTCTTGCCTCTGCTTCGCCAGCAGCCTGGATGGCAGGGGCAGAAGTCCTTGTGATAACATCAAAGTCCTGCCAGGTGCCGATGGGAACATTTGCAGATGGAGCAGCCGCCCTCTGTGTTCAGTCTCCAGCCCTCCCTCCCCAACACTCAGGGCTGGGGGATGATAGCCTGGAGGGACGGCCTCTTCCCCAGGGAGCCTGAGTCTAGACACCTTCATCAGCAAAACGTGCAGTTAAGGGAGGGAAGTTAGGGAGCTGGAGGAGGAAGCGGAGTAAGAGAATATTCTTTCTTAAAGATGGGAGAAAGACAGCAGGTCAAATGCTGATGGCCGTGGTCCAGGAGAGGGGGTGTGTGGATGGACAGGGGAGGGGATGACCCACGGGAGCAAGTGGGTGATGAGAGGACAGGGTTTGGTGCACAGTCGGGGGAGCTGGGCTTGGCTGGGGATCTGGGCAGGTCATTCATTGGAAGAGGAAGGAAGGCGGAGTCTGCAGGCACAGCCTGGGGAGGATGGGTAGATGCAGTGGCGACGGCTGTGGGAGTTTTTCTGCTCATCTTTTCTGCTTTCCTAGAGAAAGAGGAGGCGAGGTCATCCACTGAGTGGGGATGGGAGGGTGGGGGGTGGTTAGGGAGGGGAGAGGTAGGAAATAGTTGTCCAGGGGAGTGGGAGAGTGAATGGACCACAACACAGAGGGATGACGCCCCACGTTGAGGACAGTGACCGTGAATGAAAAGTGAAGTCAGCCAGCAGGTTTGCAGGTTTCCCGTCCACCGGTCTCAGCTGCGCAGGCGCAGGCGTGGTGCAGGTGGAGAGTTGGGTGGACCAGGGCCACGTTTAGCCTAGTATGTTCACGTTCCCCTCAGCTTGTCTAAACTTTAGACTGGTCTCCTCCTGACCCTTGGCCCCCGACCTCCCTTTTCTTACAGCATTTACTTTAGAAAACTTGTATATGCGAATTCTATCTCTGCCCCTTTGAGATGTAAACCTTTTAAAAAGCCACCTGCCAGTTTTACACCCCAGGACTGTCTTTCTCAAGGATGTGGGAGCCATCCCTTTGAAATGTAACTGTCAAGGCAGATAGCACCCCCATCTCCCAGTCTCTGTGGGAGGGTAGCAGCCTGTGAGGGGTGCCAGTAAACAAACACACCTGGCCTAATCATGGTGACCACCCCCCCACCCCCCAGCCCCACGTCCTCCAGTACTTTTTCACTGGCTCACCCCAGCCCTTCAAATCCCTCCTGATGTGCCAGCAGGTGAGTTCAGTCTTAGTTCTGGGCCCTCTCCCGTGTTATCAGAGCCTTGAATAGAGTCTTCTCTGCCTGGGTACCTTTGTCCGAGGCAGTTTCTGCTTTCGCATGTCCCACAGGGCTTTCCTTTACGTTCCTGTCTCCCAGGGAAGCCGAGGTTGTCATCTTCCAGGATGGTCACCTGCCCTCAGGGAAAAGCATCGGTGCTCACGGCTCCAGGGTCTTGCTTTGGTCTGGTGGTTGCTTATTGCTTTAGTGATTCTTGGATGCTTTTGAGAAGATTTAAATTTATTTTTATCCTGTTTAATTTTAGTTCTCAGTGGGAGGGTTGGCATGAATAACTGATGGGAAACATGACCATTTGGACTTCTCTGCCTGTCCTGTCTCCATAGCCCAGACTCAGTGTCCCCAAGCTGAAGTTGTCATCTCACAGCCCTATCTCCACGAGGGCCACTAGAAAGTGCTGGGACTCCAGACTGTTCCACAGCCATTCAGCCCGGGGTCACCACCAGCCTTCATGTTAATCAGAAAATGATGTCCCTTTTTCAAGTTAAAACTTCTTAAATAAGCATATTATTTCTTAATAATTATTGTGCCAACAAGAACACTATTTGAATAAGACATTTAATTCCATCAAAAAATTGTCAAAATATACAAATGTAGTTACAAGACACTTTACTGCCATCTGCCAAAACTGTAGTAAACACACATTTTCTGACTTTGAAGTAAAACAACTTATAACAAAATTTTTCAAAATAATAAATGTCTATGCTGTGAAAGCACTCCCTTCAATGCGGCAACCTGAACAACAGTAACAGCAACGCTGAATTCATCTTTTTCAAATTCTTTCACTGTCCAGTTTCACTGTCACTATATCACTTCATGTCCTTATTTCTAGCTTGGACGACTGCAGTAGCCTCTAATCAATCCTCTTACCTCAAGCCTGACTCCGTTTCCCCACACACGCCCAAGCTGCTCTCAGCACGTGGAATGCCTGTGGCATTCGCCATTCTCCCTCTGCCGAGAGCCCTTCGCAGGGAAATCTCAACATGCCCTTCAAGACTTCAGGCAGGCCTCGTGCTGCTTCTTCCTCCAGTGTGCTTTATCATCTCCTCCGTTAGAGCACCTGCCACAGTCAACGGGCGGTTCGTGGATTTGTTTGTAAGCTTGTTTCCCCCTTTGGTTGTTTCTCGGTCCTGTGTGGCTTGTAGCGCTTCCCCTTTGCTCCCATGGCACCCCGGGCACATCTCCATGACAGCTCATGTTACCCTGTTTCATAACCTTGGGTTTAGTCTCTTCCCATCATTTGACTGAGTGCGTGGGGGACTTGTCCTGTAAGTCTTTGAGCCACTGTGTCTGATACGTGCCTGGTCCTGGTAGACTCCTCCTTGCTTGGTAACTCATCCCTTCCTGGCTGATTCCATTTCTTGAAGTCCAGCTCCTCCCCCTTCTGCCCTCTCTGAGAGTCTGGGAGGGGGGAGGGCTGTTTCACCTGCAGAGTAGGAGCTCTCAGTCCCCTGGGGGAGCGGTTTTGCTGCCCTGTCATTAGCCACAAAGCCACTAGGGGGCAGGGAACCCCCATCCTTCCCTAGATCAGGGCCCAGCCAGAATCAGAAGCAGCCTTCCCCATGGAAATCAATTCTCCAAAAGCCAAATTGCTGAAAGACCATTTTGCAAATGGTCACCTCAGCAAATAATCACCTTGCTAAACCGTTGAGGAGGTATTTGAAGCTTTGGTTTTATTCAGAGTGCTCCTCAAATGCTTAATATTTCATTTAAGAATGAGCAAGCTTTTTCTTAACTCGGTTTGCTGTCTTCCTTGTTTTGGGGAAAATGACATCCCTCTAGGCCTGTAACTCTGTCCCTGAACAGACCCCACTTCTGGGAGTGACACAGCTGGGATGACCCGCCTGGCCAGGTTGAAGGCTTTTGTCTGATTGTTTTGATGAGCTGATTTGCTGTGAATTGACCTAGAGCCCAACGGAGGAGGGGTGTCTTCCTGCAGCCGGTGCTCCTTCACTAAGGGGGTCAGTGGGTGGGGGATGGGGAGGCTTTGTCAGTTTTCCTGCCAAGGTGCAGCCCCAAGACCAAGCCTGGTGTGATGGTGTGGGCTCAGGCTCTGCTTCCCGATGACGTCTTCTCACACGGGTGAACCTCGGGGACATGACGCTAAGTGAGAAAAGCCAGTCACAAAAGGACAACCCCTGTCTGATTCCACCAGTGTGAAGTTTCTAAGTTGTCAAAATCATAGAAACAGAAGTAGAAAGGGGGTTACCAGGGAGGGAACAGGAACGGGAGGGGGAATTAGTGTCTAAAGGGTGTAGAGGTTCCATGTGGTGAGATGGGAAAGTTCTAGAGCTCTTTGCACAACAAGGTAAATGTACTTGATGCTCCTGAACTGTGCGTTTAAAAATGGCTAGGGTGGTAAATTTAATGTTATGGGTTTTTTTTTTTTTTTTACCATAATAAAATAAGATAAAAAGTCTTGCTCAGTGTTTGACATCCTTCTGTAGCAGCGACCAGGGACTTTGACACTCTCTCTCACGAAAAGGGTTTCGTTTTATGAGCTATTTGAAAGCATCCAAGTTCTAGCATTTCAAGTGTTTTACTAGCTGGATGTTCTAGCATTTCGTGTTGTACCACCTGGATGTTCTAGCATTTCAAGTGTTTTACTAGCTCCAAGTTGTAGCATTTCAAGTGTTTTACCAGCTTGGGGAAAGAATTCTTTGACCCAGGAAGCAGCGCTGCTCTGAGGGCCTGAGTTCCTCAGGCAGGGGTAGGGAAGTCCCCTGGAGGGGACGTGAGGAACCTTTAAAGGAAGCCCTAAGGGCTGCGTCACGGGGACAGGGGTTGGGGAGGCGGTGGAAGAAGGTAAACAACGTCTCGGTGTTTCTGCCTCAATCTCGGGAAGGGTCTAGGGTGCGGGAGAGGCGGCGGTGGAGAGCAGCGGGCAGCGGAGAGCACCGGCCCCACCTCGCCGCCCTCGCCCAAGGCCCCTACAGGCGCCATAATTTCCGTTCTGGGGAACCGGAAGCACGCTGCACATCCTGCTGGCTCCCTCCGCACAGTGGTCCTTCCTAGGGACCCTCCTGCAGCTCGGCTTGGGGCCCGCGGCGCCCTCAGCCCCAAGCGGAGCCGGGGCTCCCATGTCCCCGCCGTCCAGTCCGTGTGCAGCTGCACGAGGGCCGCGCGGGTCAGCGAACCCCCGGGGCCAGCCCCCGGGAGGGCGTGCGCGTGTCCCTCCCTCCCTGATGCCGGCTGCGCCCGAGGTTCTCACCCTGTGACCTGGCATCAGTTCTGAACTTCCCTCTCACTGCGTTTGTGCCTCTCTTGTAGTGAAAACTACTTCTAGACACCTCTTCCTCCTCGGAAACAGTCAGAAAGACCCAGAGCCTTTCAAGCTGGTCCCGCCCCTGCCTTTCCCTCCCCGAGGCCCCTCCGCCCTCGTTAGGATTCCCTTTGCTTGCAGCTGCCTCCACCCAGCCAGCAGGGGAGCAGGTTGAACGTGGAGGTTCTGATATTGTGACAGGCCAGGGGACAGGACCAAGGTACGTGTGTGGTGGTGTCCGGATATGTGCCTTCACGTGTGGGGACGAGGATGTGAAAGGCAGCCGACCCCGGCGGTGAGAGGAGCCACCTGGAGGGCCGGAATCCAGGGGCTCTGGGATGGTTCCTCCTGATCCAGCGCTCTCCCCAGCCTAGGGGGAGCAAGCTGGCTGGGAGGGAGCACAGAGGCTCACACCCCTGGGGAGTGGAGCCTGCAGGCAGCCCTTGTAGAAGGAGGCTGTGCTTCCCTCCAGGGCTGAGATGAAGGCCTGGTGGAAGGGGGAGGGAAAAGAAGGCGGGAGGGGAGGGGGCCCCCTCTCAGGAACCCCTGGACTTCTGATTGTGCCCCAGAGCAGCCATGGTCAGTAGGCTAGCAGGAGCTGTTGGGGCTGCCGGCCTCGCCCTGGAGCAGGGGACAGGGGGCTGGCAGTTTGGACACTGATTTTCCACATTCACTTTTCTAATGTTTCCCAACCTTGCACAGTTAGGATCCATTAGCTGAGGTTGAAGGTGGTCGCCGTTTGCCGAAAACAGTAGTTCTGATTTTCCCTACATGTAAGCCACCCGGGTCCTCACCCATGAACTCTTTCCCTTCCTCCTCATGACTGACCTGCTGGGCTGGGACTAAGTCCTGCCCAGGCCGGGCTCTGGAAGCTTCTCTGAACACGTTTTTCTGTGGGTGTGAGCTGCCCCTGTTGTGGGAGGAATCCCTGCACCACTGGAACCCTGGGTTCTTGGACCTGCAGCCACATCCCCTCGGGAGCATCCTGAGAACAAGGTGGAGCCTGCTTCAGAGTCTCCACTAGAGTTCTAGAGAGAAAGCTCGTTTTTCTCTCCGCTGCCCTGCTGGGGTCTCCAGAGTGGCCTGGGAGCTTATCACAGGGAAATGTGGCTGTAAAGAGAGGGGACGGAGGGGGGTTTGGTTCCCTTTTGTCCTTAAAGGTATTTTCTATATGCTTGGGAGAAAATGGTTAAGGTTGGGCAATTGTAGAGAGTGAGACAGAAAGAGAGAGAGGGAGAGGGAGAATATCCTGATTCAACATGGCATCGTCGTCTGGAAGGGGTTCAGCAGACTCATTACTTTAATCACACCATGAACTACGACGGGGAACAATGTAAACAGAGGTGCTGACTTGGGCAATAAATTCCTTTCTTCTTCAGACCTGCTAGAGGTCTCTGCTTCCTTCAGCTTGTTATTTATCCACTAGTGTCTTTTTTTAAGTTAATGTACAAAAACACCCCACTTCACTGGCTCAGGAGACAATATAAAGTCACTTCTCTTTTACTTTTCAAGGGACATCACTTTAATCTCCCTCTCCACTCTAAAAACTGTTTTTCTTCCCTTCCTCACATCCCTCTCTTTCGGGATCATTCACCTAACACCATTTCTTGAGCATATACTGTATGCCAGGGACAACATTAGGGCGTAGGTACACAGAACAAGACAGGCATGGTCTCTGCGCGTATGGAGTTTCATACTAAGGGCAGTAGAGGGAGAATAAAAAAGTAGACAATAAATAGTATCAGATAGAAACAGTGTTATGAAGAAAATAACGGAGAGTAAGGGGATGAGGAGTTGGGTGAGGGTGTCTCTATAAAGGGGTGTGTCGGGGTCAGAGGATGCTCTTAGAAGAGTCCCAACAGCTACTGGACTTAAGCAACCAAGACATCTATTTCTCCTTGGAGTAACCATTCTGGGGTGAGTGTCTCAGGCTGAGGCGGGCTTGGCCTCTTGCGTCCTGCAGAGATCCAGATGATTCTAGAGAGGAGCCCAGGCCCTTGTGTGTGGCCCTGGTGGGCTCTCCTCCCCTCAGCCCACTGGGTTTCCTTGGTGATGAAGCCTCTTGAAGGAGGGGTCTGCGTCCTCCCTTTCCACCTCCTCTGACTCTGTCCTTGCAGTGCGGTTTCTCCCTTCAGCGATCCACGACACTGCTCTCTTCAAAGGGACAAACTGTCAAATGGCTACACAGAAATGGGGCTTTTCTCACTCTTCACTATCTTCAGCTGCGTTTCTTTGTTCTTCAAGTCAACAACCATCTCCTCAGTCCTGAGCAAGTGTTTATGGGATGCCTTCTCTGTGCTGTAGGGACGGTGGTGAACACAGCAGAACAAGTCCCTGTCCTCGTGGGACTTACCTTATAGAGGCGGGAGACAAGAAGAAAGCGATAAGCAGGTAGATGCACTTGTGAAGGGTGGTAGCAGTGGGGGCTGGGGAGAAACACAGAGCAGTGTGCAGGGACGGGGGTGCTAGTGGGCGCAGAGGGGCGGGTTGCTCTTAAATAGAGGGTCACTGAAGAAGGCCTCCTGCACCATGGGGACAATATGGTAGAGACCTAAAGAAAGTGAAACTGCCTTGCACAAGTCTGGGGGAAGAACGTTCTAGCTCAGATGAACAACCAGCACAAAGGCCCAAGGTCACAGTTTGGGGAACAGCAGGGAGGCCCATGTGCCTACAGCAGACAAAGCAAGGTGGGAGAGGGAGATGAGGTCAGAGAAGCGGCCAGGGCCCAGACTGGGTAGGGTCTTGTAGACTGCTATAAAGGCTTACCTGTTACTTTGAGGGACTGGGAAGCCACTGGGGGATTTTGGAGGGATGAGGGACATTATCTGTCTCTTGTTTTAGCAGGAGCACTCTAGCTGCTGATGGATTTTAAGCTCTAGGAAGAGAGTGGGAGCAGGGAGACCAGGGATAATGTTATTGCGGGAGTCCAGAAAAGAGCCGATGATGAGTTCAATCTGGAAAAATCAGGAAAGGCTTGATGTGGAGGTGACACTCAAGCTATGTGTGAAGAATGGGGAGGAATTTTCCAGGCAGACAGGGGAGAGGAGTGCAGGGAAGGGCATGCTGGACCTTCTGGGGAACTGGAGCTGAGGTAGCAGAGATGGGGGGGGTCTCTGTGAAAGACACCCACGGTTACAGGCTACACATTCTTCTCAAGCCCACACAAAACATTTACCAGAGTCTTATTGGGCCAAAAAGTAAATCTCAACCAAGGACAAGTATTTTATGCAGATGTTGTTCTCTGACCATAGTGCAGTAACATTGGAAATAACGAGAGCCAGTCTCCCAATACATTGTTAAATTTAGTAATCATGTCTCTTAATCTATGGATCAAAAATAAATCAGTTGAAATTAGAATGTGTTTAAAACTGATCAACAAAAAGAATGGCGGGAATGACAACATTGTGAAGATGTCAATTCTTCTCAAACTATGCTGTCAGTTCAGTGCAGGGGCCTTCAGGATTTCCCAAAGAAAATGACACCTGATTTTAAAAGTCCTGTAGACGATTAAAAAGCCAAGAATAGTGAGACAATTTTGAACAATAGCAAGGTGTTGAGGGCTGCTCGACAGATAACTAAGATCTATTTTAAAGTTATACTAAGTCATATGGTTTTAGTAGTTAAGACATTCTGGTTCAGGAATAGACTGAGTCCAGTGGACAAAACAAAGAACCTAGGGACAGTCTCATGGAAATAGGGGCACCTGGTGTCTGACAGAATCATCGGACAAAGGTTGGACTATTCAACTAATGGTGTTGGGAAATTTGGCTCTTCCTGTGGATTCTGATTCAGTTGGGAATGCTAATTTGTAAGTAACGGTGGCGTGCATCAGTGTCTCTCAAACTTGAGTGTTCATGAGAATCACCTGGAACCTGTTAAATTACAGATTCTGATTCAGCAGGTCTGGGTTGGCGCCTAAGATTCTGCATTTCTACTATGATCCCAGTTGTTGCCAATATTCCTGCTCGCAAATCACACTTTGAGTAGCAACAGCTTAAATTGTAAGAATATTAGCTGTTTATTTAACAAAGAAGTGGTCTCGAGGGTGTTCTGGCAGCTCAGTGATGTTAGCAGGGATCCTTCTATCTTTCTACTCTGCTGTCCTTTAGCCTGATGGTGCCTGTTGACTTTTTGTTCTCTTATTTGTTACCTCATTGCCCCGTGATATCTGCCGCAATTCCAGATATCACATTTAAATTCCAAATAAGATGAAGGGGGAAGAGGTGACAACAGGAGCTCTCTACTTGAGTCTGCCCCTACCATCAAGAACAAAACAGCGTCCCCAGAAGGCCCAAGCCAACGTTCCCTCCACTGTCATCAGGTCACACGGACATCCCTAGTTGGAGGGGAAGCTGGGAGAGAGAATGTATGATTTGGTTTTGCTGCTGTAACAAACTGCCACAAACTTAGTTCCCAAAAACCCCAAAATTATCATTTTACAGTTCTGGAGGTCAGGAGTCCTAAAATCAAGGTGTTGGGCAGGACTGCGATCCTTCTGGAAGCTCTCTGGGGGAATTGTTTCCTTGCCTTTTCCAGCTTCTAGAGGCCGCCTGCATCCCCCTTGGCTGTGGCCCCTTCCTCCATCTTCAAAGCCAGCAGTGTAGCATTTTCAAATCTCTCTCACTCTCCCACCTCTGCTTCTGTCCTCACATCTCCTTTTTCTCACACTGACTTTCCTGCCTCCCTCTTATAAGGACCTCTTTTAATGGGATTGTGCTCACCTGGATGATCCAAGATTCTCTCTCCATCTCAAGATCCTTAATCACCTTGGCAAAATCTCTTTTACCATGAAAGGTAAGGTAGTCACAGATTCTGGGGATTAGCACATGGACATCTTGGGGGAGTGGGGCGTTACTCTCTCCATCACAGAGAGTGTCTAGATTCCCTCAGCATGTAGAGTGGGAGATGTGTATAGAGAAGGGGGTTGTTGGTTTAGCCAATCAACAGTGTTTGACATTTTACCAATGATGGGTTTATTTCAGAGATAAGAGCCCAGGGAAGATCCTGGGAAACAGGATTTCTTGTCCCAGTCTAGTCTGAGTCTAGGACTTCAGTGGCCCAAATCCTTGGGCAAAAAGTTGAGTGAAAAAGAAAATATAGTTTCTTGCTGTTCCTCTCTCCACTCTGCGTGTGAGTTGAACATTGATGTGTTGCTTTTTGTCCCAACAGAATAAGCAGGAGCCTCTGTCTGGAGAGCAAGTCAGAGGAGGGCTGCTCCATGTCGGAACTGAGGCTTCTCCTCCTAGGCAAACATGGTGCAGGAAAGAGTGCCACAGGAAACACTATTCTGGGCAAAGCTGTGTTCAAGTCCAAGCTGAGCGAGCAGATGGTGACTAAAATGTGCCAGGAGGAGAAGGGGGCCACGAGAGAGGGGGAGGTTGTGGTCATTGACACCCCCAACCTTTTCTCTTCAGTAGCTTGTGCCAGTGACAGGCACCGCAACATTGAACGCTGCTTGGAGCTCTCCGCTCCCAGCCTCCATGTTCTGCTTCTGGTAATTCCCATTGGCTACTATAAGCCGGAGGACAAAGAAACAATCGAGGGCATCTGGAAGGTGTTTGGAGCTGAAGCCAAGAGGCACATCATTATTGTCTTTACCCGGAAGGATGAATTGGGGGATGACTCCCTGCAAGATTACATTGAAGATGACGAATCTCTTAGGAAGTTGGTTCAAGACTGTGGAGACCGGTACTGTGCTTTCAACAACAAGGCAAGTGAGGGTGAGCGGGACACCCAGGTGAGGGAGCTCCTCTGCAAGGTCAAGCGTTTGGTGGATGAGAACCCAAGACTATATTGTGTGAACTTCAGAAAAGAAGGCATTGGATTCCAGGTGAGAATTCTTGTTAAGGTCTCCAAAGATCTCTATGTTGCTAGAGCTAGTAGGATGAAAATGGGTGTAAATAAGTGAAATGTTGCATTGTGTGATGGAACACAGGCATTGCTTAAGGAGATATTTATCCATATCTGGAACGATGAGGCACCAGCTGGTTGGTTACTTTGAGTATTACCCTTTGGACTTGGACTTTGGATACATTTGAGTCCTTGTCTAACTTTAGCCTCATAGTATTGGACACACAAGTGACTCATTAGACGCTTTCTTCCCTTGGCTTCAATAAAACTACCCTCTTCTCTTTTCCCCCTCTCTTTCTGGCTACTCCAGAGACTGCTGAGTCCTCCTGTAATGACCTGTAAAACTTGGCATCTTTGGGGCTTGGTTCTAGCCTTTCCTCAATTCTCTACACTTTCTCCTCAGATGATTCCATATTCTTACGGTTTTGAGCTCTGTCTCTTGCTAACAGTTTCCAAATTAGTAATACTAGTCCAGGTCTCTCCTCGGAGTTCTGACTCCTTTTTCCAGTTGCTACTTGACATGTCCACATGGCTCTCTTGTAGGATCTCAAACTTAACATGTCCAAACTTTTGCTTTTCCCTCTTAAATCTATAAGACTTCAGTCTTGCTCTCAACTCAGTAACTGGTTGTGCTGCTCACCATGAACTTCAAACCTAAACCCAGATGTCAGCTTTGATACCACTGCTAGCTTGCAGCTGATATCAAAGGGGTGATCAGTGTACCTGGAATCCACCTGCTTCTCTCCATCTCCACTACCACCACTCGGTCCAAGCCCGCCTCCTCTTGCCTGTCCTATTTTATAAGTAATCTACCAACAACTTTGCCCTCATTCATTCTTGTGCCTTACCCTGCAATCCATTTCACACACAACAGCCAGAGTGATATTTTATTTGATTTTTAAACTGGAATGGAAAATGTATTCATAACTACGGAAGACACAAAAATGCAAGCTTTTGCCTTTGAGGAGCTTACCCTTCAATTGGAGTGACCTATGCATAAGAAGCAAAGCAATAAGTGATTCAGTGCAGGTAAGTGAATGTTGGTATCGAGAATTCTATAAATGTAGGTGCTGGAGAACGTGAAGCAAGCAAGAATTCAGCATGGTCGCAGTTGTGGTCAGAGTGAATTTTCTTACAGCTGCTGAGTACTGAGCCCAAACAGGATGGAAATGGGGGGAAGTGGATATTTATTGAGCGCCTCCTAAGTTCCAGGCACATACATAAACTGATTAAGTCTTCACAACAACTCTGTGTGCTGGTGTTCTACAGATGAGGCCCCAGAGGCTCAAGAGAACTGAAGTCACTTGCTCTCTTGTCTCCTAGGCCTGAGCTCTCTCTCTCCTTCATGACCATCTGTCTCTGCCTTGAAAGGGGCCTGGAACAGGGATGTCAGCAGAGGGGAGAAGGGGCACAGAAAGAGTTTTCTAAGTGTAACCTGAACATGACACCCTCTGATTTAAAATGCCTCAGTGACTCCCCGCTGGTCTTCAGATCAAGTTCAGAGTCCTTGGCCTGACCTGGTCCCTCACCATCTATCTTGCTTTCTATGTGCTGATCTCACTGGCCTTCCCTTTGGTCCCTGAGTTATGCTCATGTCCACTCTAGAGCCTCAAACCTGCAGTTCACTCTGCCTGAGGCTTCCCCTCTCCCATCCCACCCCATCCCAGATCTGCTTTTATGTGTCCATCTGCCTCAGCTTAAACTCACTTCCTCAGGGAGTCCTCCCGGATTGTCCCCTGGATGAGCCCCCACAGCTTCCCCCCTCACAGTGCTCTTCATATAGTCATCATAATACCAAGTGATCCCTCTAAATATATCTGTGATGGGCGCATCCCCACAAAGTCCATGAGGACAGAACTCGTACCTGCTTTGTTGATCACAGCACCTTCATTTTGTTTTCTGTAAAACGGAGGTAATAATGCTATGTATTAAGGATTAAATGAAATGCTTACAAAATTGTTTGCAAATACTTGAAACTTGGTAAGTGTTCAATTACTATTAGTTATTATTATTATTGTTGTTGTTATTATAGATGTGTATGCAGTTCAAATAAATTCTGGGGACATTAAGGACTTTAACAATCTAAAGACTGAGCAAGGGACCGGCCCGGTGGCGGAGCGGTTAAGTGCATGCGCTCTGCTTGGGCGGCCCGTGGTTTGCAGGTTCACATCCTGGGCGTGGACCACCGCACTGCTTGTCAAGCCATGCTGTGGTGGCATCCCCTATAAAGATTTTATTTATTTATTTTTTCCCCCCAAAGCCCCAGCAGATAGTTGTGTGTCACAGCTGCACATCCTTCTAGTTGCTGTATGTGGGACGCGGCCTCAGCATGGCCGGAGAAGCAGCGCGTCGGTGCGAGCCCGGGATCCGAACCCGGGTCGCCAGCAGTGGAGCGCGCTCACTTAACCACCAAGCCACGGGGCCGGCCCAAGGCATCCCCTATAAAGTAGAGGAAGATGGGCAGGGTTGTTAGCCCAGGGCCAGTCTTCCTCAGCAAAAAGAGGAGGATTGGCAACAGATGTTGGCTCAGGGCTGATCTTCCTCACAAAAGAAAAAAAAAAAGAAGACTGAGCAAGATTCCCACTTTTAGGACTCTATCATCCAGAAATAAAACCATTTGTATATGTAAAGATGTACGTACAAGAATATCTATCACAGCATCTTTTGAAATAGTAAAGACAGAAGTAACCTGAAGGTCTATCAATAAAGGAATGGTTGCGTTAGTTGTGTATGTTCATACTATGGAACAAGTAGCATCTACTAAAAAAATGGGGTTGATCTGTATGAATTGACTTGTGCAGATGTACAGGACATGTTATTAAGCAAATTGCAGAACAAAAAGCCTAATAAGTCTAAAGTCTCTGTATCTTCATATGTATTTGTATAAACATAGAAAAATATAGAAGGGATATATCTGTATATATATAACTTATATATCTATATATATGTACTTCTCTCTATATATGATATGTATATCTATCTATCTATCTATCTATAAAACTGTCACTTTTCTGGTAGATTGGAGATGGAAAAATTATTAATTTTTAGATCATACACATTTGCATTGTGACAATATTTTGCATTTAAAAAACACAAGAGAGGGCTGGCCCGGTGGCGCAAGCGGTTAAGTGTGCGCGCTCCGCTGCGGTGGCCCAGGGTTCTCCGGTTCGGATCCCAGGCGTGCACCGACGCACTGCTTGTCGAGCCATGCTGTGGCGGCATCCCATATAAAGTGGAGGAAGATGGGCGCAGATGTTAGCCCAGGGCCAATCTTCCTCAGCAAAAAGAGGAGGATTGGCATCAGATGTTAGTTCAGGGCTGATCTTCCTCACACAAAAAAACCAAAACAACCATGAAAGAATTTGAACTGGGCTGTGTAGGGTGAAAGAAGTCTGATACTCTGAGCTGACTGGAGAGGACCCAGGGAGAGAGATGACTGAGTGTATTAATGGTTTTCTGTAGGGCCAAGTGAGAAAGCAGAGGGGAAATTTCCTTGTCTGGCATGGAGATCTAACAAAGATAACGCTAAAATAAAGTACAGGAAGTCTCTAAGAGTAGCAGATTCATCAACATTGCATATCACTGTTCTCACCTTCTTTTTTGGTTCCATGACAATTTAAATTTTGAGAGAGTATAAGGCTTCACCAGGCAGCTGAAGGGGATGCCAGTTGTGTGTTTGGCTACGCATCCTCTGTGGCCTCCATTTGCCCACCTGGATGGGGCAGGTTCCAAATTTTACTTCATCTCATGGTAGAAGAAGCTTCTTCTCTGTACCAGGGGTGTAGTGAGGGAAGAAGACAGTGGAGCTATGTGGGGAGCTTGATCCCCATCCTCCTTCCTTCCCCTTGTTCCTCAAATGCAGATCACAGGCACTACAGGGCTTGTTTCTTCTTCCAGGGAGTCCAGAAGCTCTTCCTAAGCCTTTGGATTTTCTCTAGGAATAGCAGAAACTCTGGAAGACTTTGGAAGGAATTGCTCTTACTCTCAGGGACTGTGGAGAAGTAAAGTTAGAGAGCTTCAGGAACCATGCCCTGGTTAGATGGCATTTGTGGGGCTCCTCTGAGTGAGAACAGGACCCATCTTCTTACTCTGGGAAACTGGTTGCAGCAGCAGCAGTTGCAGTGAGGTCTCAAGAACGACCATCATTATGAACAGGTCTACAAAGGCCGGCATGGACCATGACCATGGCTTTGATTTGACCACATCCTAATCATCAGATCACTCTGGATTATATACAGTCATGTACCACGTAATGACGTTTCAGTCAACGACACACCACATATATGACGGTGATCCCATAAGATTAGTGCCATAGAGTCTATGTGTGTGGTAGGCTATACCATCTAGGTTTGTGTAAGTGCACTCTGTAATGTTCGCTCAATGACGAAATCGCCTAACGACACATTTGTCAAAACACATCCCCACTGTTAAGCGACACATGACTGCACTTGTGTCTCCATTTCTTTACTCTGCAAAAAGATGAGATTTTAGATCTGTGTGCATCGTTTTCCTCCTCTATTTTCTAGGATTTTGTGAATGGAGCTACATCACAGAAGAAGGACAATCTCCATGGTAAGATGATTCTTAAAAAATGTTAAGCTCGGGGTCAGCCTGGTGGCGTAGTGGTTAAGTTTGCCTGCACTCCACATTGGCAGCCCGGGGTTTGCAGGTTCAGATCCCGGGTGCGGACCTATGCACTGCTTATCAAAGCCATGCTGTGGCGGCATCCCATATACAAAATAGAGGAAGGTGGGCACAGCTGTTAGCTCAGGGCTAATCTTCCTCAGCACAAAGAGGAAGATTGGCAATGGAGGATAGCTAAGGGCCAGTCTTGCTCACCACAAAAAAAAGAAAAATGTTAAGCTCCTATTTGTATTCTTTTGAATGCATTATATGTCAAAATGAAGTGGAAAAATTATCTAGATGAGTCAGAACAAAAATGCAACCTGGAGACCTAGCTCAGGTCAGTGCCTACCACTTGTCTCCCAGGGAACTCCTAACACTTGTGAGTAGGTGCAGCACCAGCAAAGGTACTGGCCATGGCATGGGTGTCCCGGGCCTTCTCTGAAATGTTACGAAGGTGGGCTTGCCTCTTACGGCTTCTTTCTGACTCAGCCTCTTCTGTCTGGCCCTGCATCCAGCACTACCCAATTTTTGATGCCTACTGGGAAAGCAGTAGTCAGACCTTCATGGATAACACTAACTTGCAGAATTCAGTGACGGAGCTCAGCATCCATTTAATGATTGCCACTAATGGTACATCCTGCACACTGCACAAGTCAGTACGTGTAGCTCTACCTTGTTCTGCTTAGTAGATGCAATTTGGTCCATAGTATGGGCTTACACAACTAACTCAACCATCCCATTGTTGATGGACTTTCAGGTTATTTCTGGCCCAGCTCTGTGCAAGAACTGAATGTTCAGCAGTGAGTAAGATAGACAAGATCTCTGTCCTCATAGAACTCCCCAAAATAATAATCATAATTATAATTTTAATAATGATAATTGCAACTGACATTATGTGCTGGAAAATATATAAATCGTATAATTCTCATAGCATATAATATATAATCCTCATAACAACCCTATATATATATTCATCATAACAACCCTATAAACAAAGTGTTATTATCATTATTCTCATTTTACGCATGAGTAAACTTTGCCAGAAATATGTGAATTCAGGCAGCAGTAGGGATTTAAAATTCTGTCAATGTCCTTCAGCCAAGACCCCCAGCAACATACCTCTTCCTGAACAAAATTGGGTTTATTGACTCATGGCAGTGAGGCAATAGCACATTGTGGGGAACTTTGGGGAGTCTCAGAATGAGGGTGTTGGAAAGGACTTTTTATATAATACGGGCTTGTCTGAGGTGATTTTGGGGAAAATAGTAATTTTCCTAAGGGGACATAGCAAGGATATGGTGTCACTAGCATTTCAGCTGCTTTCTTTAAATGCCATGTTCACTCCACTTCCCAGACTTGCCACTCAGATACTGAGTGACAATCCACACCAATAGCGCCCTGGATGACTCAGACTCAGTGAATATTCCTTGTAGTTGCTGGCTCTGCCATTTGCTCAGCATGTAGGTCTGGTGTTGAGCTTGGACCACAGGAGAACAGTGGGGATGGGGCTGTGTGGAGAGACAGTTTTGAGGTGCAGGATTTTACAGAAATCCATTGAGGTATAATTTACATAAAGTAAAATGCACAAATCTTAAGTATACAACTCAAAGACTTTTTACATATCTATACTCGTGTGACCACCATCTAGATAAAGATACAGAGCATTTTCATCAGCTTAGAAGTTCTTACTGCCACTCCCCAAAGGGAACTATCTCCAGACTTCTATTGACATAGATTAATTTTGTCTGTTCTTGAACCTCATGTAATGAACCACATAGCATGTGGTTTTGTGTCTGGCTGTCTTCACTTAGCGTGTTTTGGAGATCCATTCATGTTGCATATCAGTAGTTCATTCCTTTTTTTTTTTTTTTAATTGCTGAGTTCTCTTCTATTTTATGAATATACCACTGAGGGGCATTTTAAACTCAGATTCTCCCTGGTCCTGCTTTTAGCCCATTGACTTCATGCCCCAGAACTTACTTTTGGTAGCAAAATGAGAGGAACCCTAAGGACCAAGACCAGTGAAGGCCAAATTTAACATTTGCATGTTCCTGGGAAACCTGAAGCCCTTTATGTATCTCTTAATTTGCTCCTGGTGCCTTTTGTGGCTTTCACTTTGATGGGTGGCTTCTCTCTGGGACTAGAGTTCTACTGGTTCAGTGCCCTACTGCCATTATCTATAAAAACTGACAAGGATGAGAAATCATAAAACCCGTCCACGTCTCTGTGTCTACTGCAAGAAGAGACTCTGAATCTGTCCTTTTGTCCCGCAGGGCCAGAGGAGAAGCAGCTGCAGGCCACAGGATGTGAGCGGAACCCTGGGATGTCAGAACTGAAGGTCCTGCTCGTGGGGAAGCGTGGGGCTGGAAAAAGTACCGTTGGAAACAGCCTTCTGGGGAAGCGAGTCTTTGAGACCAAATTCAGTGAACAGTCAGTAACCCAGATGTTTAGGTCTAAGAGCAGAATCTGGAAAGAGAGGAATATTTCAATCATTGACACTCCAGACATCTCACTTTCAAAGGTCCTTGAATCAGAGCTTTCAAAACACACCTTCCCGGGCCCCCACGCCTTCCTGCTGGTGAGCCCGCTGGGCTCTTTCACTGAGAAAGATGAGGCAGTGCTGGACACCATCCGAAGCAATTTTGGAGACAAGTTCTTTGAGTACATGATCGTCCTCCTCACCAGGAAAGAAGATCTAGGGGATCAGAATGTAGATACGTTCTTAAAAGACACAAATGAATCCCTCAACCAGCTCATCAAGAAATGTAAAAGCAGATACAGCGCCTTCAACTACAGAGTGACAGGAGATGAGGAGCAACACCAGGTGGATCAGCTCCTGGAAAAAATTGTGAGCGTGGTGCAGCAGAATGGAAACAAGCCCTGCTTCCTCAGAGGGAGAGGTAAACAATGTGTAGAAAACATTTCATATATACTTAAAAAATAGATCTAAAATATACAAGAACTTTTCATTTTCTGAAGGGCATAGAGAAGATAAAAAGGACAGGTCCATGCTATTGACTAACTCTTTTCTCTTTTTCCGTTCTTTATCACATTTTACTAAAGTGAGATGTGCCTTTCCATGCACGCTGTCCTGATCTGGTCTTTAATTCTTTCGTGACCCTTACCTCATGTCTCCAACTGGGTGGTGAGGGTCTTGAGGGAAGGAGTTCACCTTTTCCAATCTCTTGTTTTCCTCACAGTGTATCTGGTGTCCAGGGCTCATTGATCAGTGTTGGTGATGAGATAGTTCTGGATCACTGGCTTACTCTCCTCTTCCTCTTAAGCCCAACTCTCTCTCTCGACTTCTTTGTCCACTCTCTTGGTTCTTTACTCTTCTCTCTATTGGAGAGGGGAGGCCATTTTGACTGGACAGGACAGGGAGCCTGAATGCTCTTGATGGGCGGCCCCCACATGGCACTAGATGGATGTTATTAGCCCAGTCACAATACCCTGTCTACTGCTAAAGCAGGAGTCCCTTTCCACTAAGTGCTCTGTGTTCTACAGACCTGAGCTGAGGTTCTAGCCCAGCAGTACTTATGCCATTCTCTTTTGCTTCAGTGTCCTCACCGGGATGAACATCAGACCAAGTCATATCTGTTTACTGAGCCCTTTCAATTCCTCATGGAGGGCCAGGTGCTGGGAAGCCTCATGAAGTACAGACATGTGAGAAAGCTGAGGAGGCTGTGTGGAGAAAGCCCAATTTGAAACAGGCATTAGAGAATAGGTAGAGTTTAGATGGCTGAGCAGAAAGCTGAAAGTCATTCCAGAGAGTACACTAGCAATCTGAAGCAAGGAGGTAGGACTAAGCATGCCACTTTGGAGGGAACAAAAGGGAATAGTCTTCATGGAAATGGAGGGTTCACACATCTAGATAACGTGGGATGGGGAGGTTAGATCAGATTAGAGAGGACTTGAGAACCACACCCTCTGATTTTATGGAGGCAGGGACTGAAATACATGACAAATATGGGGGTGTCAGAAGATTCATCTATTTTTCATCCTGAAAGCATAACTATGGGATTGCAGCTTCCGCATAAGCAATTCAATGATTTCCCCTGTAAGGAAGAGCACAGAATGAGCTTTCCTCCCTCTTTGTTTTGAGGTAGATACTAGTAACCTGGTAAAGAATTCATAATTGAGCAGAACTGTGAAGAGACCTGAATGGAAGAGAGAGAGAGAGAGAGAGAGATCACAGTAGAAGTGCAAAGTCGTAAGAAACCCCCAGTAATACACCTTGTAAGATCTCTGTGCATCTGTAATTTCATATATACGAAAATTTATTCTCCATAATTGTCACCACACAGAACAGTGTTAGGAGATATTCATTATTATAACTATGAAGTGCCTTTTAACAAATGAAAGACACAGTTAAGTTTCACGTGTTTTTAATGAGAAATGGATTTTAGTGTGACCCAGCTGAAGGAACTGGTAATCCTTCGATGGTATACGTAGTTCCTTTTCTCATGAGAAGTCATGTCTATGGAATAATTTTTCAACTACATCAAGGAGATTTTGCTGTAGTTAGCATTAGTTGGCAGTAGGAAGACATAGTCGCAGTAGGAGCGGAGGACAACGATGAGATGTTGTAGATAGGGCCAGCTGACTAGGTGAAGGGTAATAAAGCCAGTGGCATTCACAATGTGCCAGAGAGTCAGAGAAGGTAAGAAGAAGTAGAAAGAAGGAGCAGAGCAGATTCAGATATAGGAACAGTGCCATGTCAGTGGATGAGCACAGGGCAGAGACTGTGGTCAAGTCCTGCTTCTGAGTTCGCAGACCGGGTGACTAGAACAAGCCATTCCCATGCCCGGGGATGGAGCTGCCAGGCGAGAGGGTTGCCTTGAAGCTCTCTGAGCATCCTCTGCTGTAATGTATGGCATAACTTTGAATGTCATACCCTGATCAGCCCGTGGTCACGAATCTTTCCCGCTTTCCTTTCAACAGAGGCCCTGAGCATTGTCCTCGTGGGGAGGAGCGGGACTGGGAAGAGCGCGACGGGGAACACCATCCTTGGAAGGGACAAATTCCCCTCTCAGCTTCTAGCGCAGCCAGTCACCAAGACGTGCCAGAGCAGCAGGAGGAAGTGGGAAGGGCAGGATGTTGTGGTTGTGGACACTCCCTCACTCCACCTGATGCCCGGTGCTGAGGGAGGTCCATCCCAGCTGGAGCAGGAGGTCGAACGCTGTTGGTCCTGCTGTGAAGAAGGGAGCAAGATTCTGGTCCTGGTGTTGCAGCTGGGACGGTTCACTCAGGAGGATGAAAACGTGGTGAGGGAACTGGAGACCATCTTTGGAGAGGAAGTTATGAAATATACGATTGTGGTGTTCACCCGGAAGGAAGATCTAGGCGATGGGAAGCTTGAGGAGTACCTCAAGAACACAGATAACAAAGCTCTTAAGAAGATAATTAAAAAGTGTGAGGGGCGAGTTTGTGCTTTTAATAACAAAGAAACTGGCCAAGCCAGGGAAGCCCAGGCAAAAGTTCTTTTGATGATAGCCAATGAGCTAATAGGGAGATGTGGAGGGCATGGATACCCCTATGATTGGGATAAGGTCAGCAAAATAATGAAAAATGCCCAGGAAAAGCACAAGCCCCCAAAATTACTAGAGACTTTAAAAAATATGTTCTCATAGGTAGTTGAAATGCCTGGTGCCTCTTTCTCAATTAGAGACACCATGAGGTTGGGGTGGGGACATGGGAGGACTGGTGGGCTGGGAAGAGGGTCCATGACTTTGAGGGCTTGGGAGGTAGGTGCATCTCATCTGTGATGCTGTAGCTCTTTGTAGGTAAGTAAATTATCAGGCTGGGCAGGTGGTAGGGGTTATAAAGGAGAAAGAAGAAATAAGGTGGGGAAATCTGGAAAAGGCTTCTGAGACTAGGCTGATGTCAAGGGTCAGAATCGAGTACAAGAGTGACCTCACCTGTGTGGGTGGATTGGCATCGGGACAGACACCAGGAGCAAGGCCGAGGCCAGCCTGGGGTCAGAACACAGATCGTTACTCAGGAACCAGGGGATCCAGGTATGTGAGAGCAGGACACAGTCCAGCCAACCCCTGGGCATGGCAGGACGGGGGAGCTGGACTCCCGTGGGCCTCCTCATTCCCCAGGGCTGCTTGCCAGGCCCACTAGCCCCCTGAGCTCCCATGTCTCCACTGGGGCAGGATTCAGGGCTAGCAGGTTGCTTTCTCCACGTAGTGGCTGCTCCTTAGTGCTCTCCTCCTTCCAAGCCTGAAGGGAAAGTGGGACCCAGTCTACCCTCCCTTGTTGTCCCTGAGGAAATGAACATGAGTCTGTGAGGTTTCAAAAGATTTTATTGCTAATCATCACAGTGAAATAGACTAAAACAAAAATCAGAAGCATGTAAAATTGCTAAGATTAGACAATCTTGCAGGGTTCTAAAATTCTAAGTATAATTCTAGATTTCCTCTAGAAAAGGTTATTGAAAACCCCTTTGCACTTTTCTCCTTTTTTATCCCTGAGGGTTAGGAATTAGGTGAAAAATTGGGGAACTCAAACAATAATGGTTTAAACACATTAGGGGCTTATCGTGGCTCGTGTCTAGAAGCCCAGGAGTAGGCAGTCTGAGGTGTAGCATCAACATTTCAGCTTCCTTCTGTCTCTCTGCCCCAGCTTCACTGGCACGCAGCCTCCATACTGAAGGTTGCTTCTTGGGTCCAAGATGGTGGTGTTCTCCCCATGGCTGAGCCCCTTATATTGAGAGCTGCCTGATGTGGGTGGTACATGAGATGAGAACTATGGAGTCTTCTCCCAGATAGATGTAGGGTCAGATGTTTTCAATATTAACCACTTTATACATGCTTTGAGGACAGGATCTATGTCATCTGCTTTAGTTTTTTGAAAGGAGTGGGATACCTTCAAGATTAACCCATTTATAAGAGCATGGACAGTCACCATTAATATTTTTGTTCTCTGTATAACCCCTCAGATGACAAATTCTGGGAAATATGTGTGTAAATATAACCAGTTGAGTGAAATAATAAAGGTGAACTCTATTATAAATTCCCATCCTCCTGATTCCCATTTTTCTGACTTGGGGGAAGAGTATGCCTCCATGGAGAGTCAGTGGAGATGTTTGGACACTGTGATTCTGGTGAGGTTTTTGCATCTTTGGTGCCTGAAGACCTTTAGACTGGGTGACAGCCACTTGACTAGGCCTCTGCCAGCTCCGGACTCATCCCCCCAGGGCATTCCACTACAGCAAGGACAAATAAATGTAAGAAGCATTAGAACCAGGACATGGGAGGAATAATGTCTAGAAGGCATTTTGTGCTTCTTCCCAGAGCCTCTCCTGTCTGAAGGCAGGAACAAATCCCAATGTGCTACCCAAGGTTGAGCAGGTGACAGTGGGAGCTGCATGAGGTGGGGCATGTGAGGGCTATGCAAGGTGGCATCTTCTTCCAGGTAGGACCTAACATACATCTCCACTTTCCTTAGGACCACTCTTGATGGGGGTGACAATACTGCTGTATCAGTTCCTCTGAGAAGCACTGCCGAAAACGAGCTAGGAGTGCAGGAGGTTTATTGCAGGTGGGGGCAGAGTAATGTCTGTTATAGACAAAGGAGAGGAAGCAGAAGTGGGCAGAGAAAGTCTTCAGACTGTGATGCTGATCTGACCCTTGCAAGAGGAAAGGGAGGAGGGAGAGCCTCAGATCTGACAGAGCCTTGGCCAACTCAGTAGGGACTTCTGGGGCAAAGACTGACCAGTAGCGAAGTTGTGTATTGGGCAGACGCTGGTAGCTCTGCTGTGCTCAGCCTTTGGCTCGGAACTGCCTGGGAAGAGCATGGCTTTGGCTCAGAAGCTGAGGGGGGTCCTGAAAGTGTTGCAACTGGAGGCTGTCAGTTAACTGTGCTCCTTGGAGCAGATGGCAAGTTTTCTTTTCTTTTTTTCTTTTTTAGTGTTGTACTTTAGATCCCCAGAAATTGTTCATCTTATACCTGGGAGTATGTACCCTTTGACCAACATCTCTCATTTCTCCCCCTACCCCAGACCCCTGACAACCACCATTCTACTCTCTGTCTCTGTGAGTTAGAATTTTTTAGATTCCACATAGAAGTGAAATCGTAAGATATTTGTCTTTCTCTCTCTAACTTATTTCATTTAGTGTAATGCCCTCAAGATCCATCCATGTTGTGGCAAATGGCAGGGTTTCCTTCTTTTTTATGGCTGAATAATATTTCATTCTATAGATATACCACACTTCTTTATCCATTCATCTGTTGACAGTCACTTAGGTTGTTTCTGTATCTTGGATGTTGTGAACAATGCTGCGGTAAACATGGGGGTGCAGATATCTCTTCAAGATCCTAATTTCATTTCCTTTGAAGTGGGATTGCTGGATCATATAGTAGTTCTATTTTTAATTTCTTGAGGCACTTCCACACTGTTTTCCATAGTGGCTGCACCAATTTGCATTCTCACCAACAGTACACATGGGTTCCCCTTTCTCCACATCCTTGCCAACACTTATTATTTCTTGTCTTTTTGATAACAGCCATTCTAACAGTTGTGAGGTGATATTTCATTGTAGTTCTGATTTGCATTTCCCTGGTGATTAGTGATATTGAGCATCTTTTCACATACCTGTTGGCTCTTTGTATGTCTTCTTTGGAAAAATGTCTATTCAGGTCCTTTGCCCACATTTTAATCAGATTATTTGTGGGTTTTTTTTTTCTTTTTTACTGTTGAGTTGTATGAGTTCCCTGTATATTTTGAATATTAACCCCTTATCAGATATACTACTTGCAAATATTTTCTCCCATTCCATAGGTTGCCTTTCATTTTGTTGACGGTTGCCTTTGCTTTGCAGAAGCTTTTTACTTTTACATTATCCCACTTGTCTATTTTCTCTTTTGTTGCCTGTAGTTTTGGTGTCATATCCAAAAAATCATTGACAAAACCAACGTCAAGGAGTGTTCTTCCTGCGTTTTCTTCTGGTAGTTTTACAGTTTCAGGTCTTACATTTAAGTCTTTAATTCATTTTGAGTTAATTTTTTGGGTGTGTGTGTGTGTGTTTTTGTGAGGAAGATTAGCCCTGAGCTAACATCTGTTGCCAATCCTCCTCTTTTTTGCTGAGGAAGATTGGCCCTGGGCTAACATCTATGCCCATCCTCCTCTACTTTATATGGAATGCCATCACAGCATGTCTTGACAAGCGGTTTGTTGGTCCGTGCCCAGGATCCGTACCAGCGAACCCCGGGCCACTGAAGTGGAGTGGGTGAACTTAAGTGCTACGCCACTGGGCAAGCCCCTCGAGTTAATTTTTGAGTAATATGAGATACGAGTCCAATTTCATTCTTTTGCATGTGGCTATCCAGTTTTCCCAACACCATTTATTGAAGAAACGATTCTTTCGCATTGTGTATTCTTGGCACCCTTGACAAAGATTAGTTGACTAAGTTTTATTCTTGGAGGGAGAACCTTCAAGTGTGGTGTACCTACATGGTTTCCATGGCTGGTTGGCATGTTCCATGCAGATCCATTTCTCCACACATGTTTGGATATCTGTTCCTTCAGGGTTTCCCTAGGACTCTCTTCCTTAGAGGCAACTAAAAGTGGAAGATTTCTAGGATGAACTGCAGTCATCGTTATGCACTCAATCCTGGGCTGCAGCTGGTACTCACTGTCTTCCTCCTCCATTATCCATTTTCAGTTCCCCTCACTTTCAGATTTCATTTCTGTTTGTGTCAGTGCTCACCTGTTGTGTGACCTAAACCCACATTTCCAAGAGATCTAAGACCCTGGTAACCATACTCTTCTCAGGCTGGGGTTGCCACACTTGCACATTCACAGTTTCAGTTGGGCAAGGGAGTACCCAGGGGTGCCCAAGTGGCGTTCCACGAATTCCATTATGCCCCCATTGTGAACAGCAGCCTTTCCTCCTGCTGATCCGGGTCAATTAATCCTGGCAAGATGAGTCTGCTGTTCTTGCCTGCTGGTTCTGGACACTAGGAGTCTAAAGTGTGCAGGTGGCAGCCATAGGTCATGGTTCAATGGGACTTTTGTTGCAGATGGGAAATCTAACGCTGCCGAGCCCAGGGTCCTGAAGGACAAAGCCCTCCAGCGGGTAACTGGGAATAATGGTAAGTATGGCTTCTTCTGCTTCTTTTATCTCTTGGTTCTCAAACCCGTGTATTCTTCCTGTTGGAGATCACTGATTCAGTGTATCTGCCGCATTCTAGTAGGTGGCACCCCATCCTTACCTGTTTGACCTGGCAGTCCAGAATCGACCTTCCACTCTCTCACACATACGTGTCTTACCAAGGCCACTAGCATGCTGGCCACCTATTGCTCATCCTGCCTGTTCAGTGTGGTATCATTGATGAAATGTGGTGGTTCTCAACTGGGAATGATGTTGCCCCACAAGGGATGTTGACAATATCTGGAGACATTTTTGGGTGTCACAATAGGGAGGTAGGCGCCACTGGTGTGTAGTAGGTAGAAGCCAGGTATGCTGCTAAACATCCTACAATGCACAGGACAGCCCCATATAGCAAAGAATTATCTGGCCCAATATGTCAATAGTGCTGAGGTTGGGAGACCTTGATGCAATGGATCAATGTGATATACTGCAGGATGGCCTGATGGTCCAGATCTCTTTGGATTAGAGAGTGG